ATTGGAGGAAGATGTACTTCATGAAACTGAAGACACTCCAACAACAAGTACCAGACAGATTGCTAGAAACTTAAATGTAAGTCGCTCTACAATTTTCAGGATTTTAAAAAATAATCTTCTATACCCTTATCACATCCAACGGATTCAGGCACTTTTACCGACTGATTTTCCGTTAAAATTAGATTTATGTCGATGGATACGACAAAAAATTGGCGACAATTTTTAGCAGAAGTACTACTATTCACAGAGGAGCCGAATTTTTCTAGAAAAGCCATAGTGAACTTCCATAATAATCATGTATGGGCGAACGAGAACCCAAATGCAATATTAAAAGGCCGTCATCAACACCAGTTTTCTCTTAATGTATGGGTCGGAATTCTGGGAGACCACTTAATAGGCCAATTTTTTTTACCACCGAGGCTTACTGGATACGTATATCGCCGTTTTCATGAGGATGAATTGCCCGTACTTTTGGAAGACATCCCATTGCCATTAAGGTTGCAAATGTATTTTATGCACGATGGTGCTCCACCCCATTTTAGTTTAGCTGCACGTGAATATTTGAATAATATTTACCCAAATCGCTGGATAGGTCGAGGAGGCACTCAGCCCTGGCCCCCGAGGTCTCCCGACTTAAATTCGTTGGATTTTGTTCTTTGGGATCACCTCAAACATATGGTTTATACGACTCCAGTGCAAACCATAGACGAATTAAGAAACCGCATTGTCGCATCCTGTGAAACAATTAGACACACAGCCAGAATATTTGACGGGTTCGCCAATCAATGTGTCGTAGTATAGATGCCTGTATTAGAGTTGAAGATGCATATTTTCAACAACTGTTGTAACGCCTGTGAATGTAAAGTATTTTTCATATCATTACTGTTTGTTCAATATTTTTTCTTATGTTTCTGTTAATATTATTTATTTTAAAAAATATTATTTAGTGAGTTATTGTTTCTCAGCTTGTTACATTGTTTTTCCTTTAAATGTATTCTTAAAGTTGATTAGTAAATAACTAAAACATTGAATTTCTATTTTTGTTTTCTACTTCCCTTAAGAATGTGCATATGAAAGGATATTAATTTTTTGCTCGAAAACGAAGCAAGATATCAAAAAAAGTAAAGAGACAAAAAAGTTGTATTTTTAATCGCATAATTAGAAAAAAATATGACACCTAAGAAAAAGCAGTGACGTCTCATATGTTTACTTATTAATATCAACAGGAGTGAGTCCCCGGACGCCGCTAGAATAGATAAAATAAATCAAATTACGTCAGAAGACGTCTACCGTTTTTATAAACAAACAAACCAAATTTCAAAAAAATCTGAATTAGGTTTTTCCAGGTATTAGTAAAAACCTTGTATTTTCTCTAAATTTCAACACCCTGTATCTTCGAAACGAAGCATTTTCAGAAATAGGTTTATAGGAACTTTCTTTCTTATTTTTTGGTCAAGGAAACTCCCCCTGAAATTTTTCACAATATTAGTGGGACACCCTGTATATCAAAATGAAAGAGTACCTATACTTACACTCTGTAAAATATTTGTTGAGATAAAATTCCAAAAAAAAAATAATAAGCCAATAAAGTTCTATTGTTAAACACAATACTCTCTGGCTGGGAATTAAATTCCTTTCTTTTGTTTTTCACCTCCATTGATTAATTTTGATAAGAAATTGCATTGCAAGCCGCTGTCTTTCTACCTGGGGTGTCGAACGCGGAATTCTATCTCGACAAATATCATAAGAACTACATCCTTGTTGCCTTTGCCCTTACTTCCTCACAGATGGTCTTCTGGTTCTAATGCTTGTACATGATGAATATGCTACAGCTGATTTTCGTGTATTGCGTTTGCCAAACTTTATAAAAAATTGTTTGGTACTAATTTTTAGTCGTTTTTCGCGACAGTGTTGGAATTTCTGCCTCATTTTGTAACATACTTCTTGGTTGAGCTCCTCTGGCATGTCTTCCACAGTCTTCTTGCTGGATTTCTGAACAATAAAAAACAAAACCAAAACTTATATTATAACAAAGAGCGACAATGTTAAAAATTACAGCAAGCACTGATTTATTTCTTCACGGTAGTGCGAATATATTATTAATAATTACAGAAAGCGGAGGCAGAAGTCTCATTAACTTCAGGTTTACGTATCGCTGTTATTAAAAATTTCTGTTTGAGTTCCTTAATATTAAAAGTCCATATTCTAAAACACCCTATATACAATAATTCAAAATTAATTACATACAACAAATTACAAATTGTTTCCTTAGATGTTTCTTTATGGCAACACATACCAACACTCTATTCAAAATTGCCGCTGTCTTATAGAAAATGACATTTTTCAAGTAAAATATCACTAAGAATATTTAGTTGCATTCCAAAAAAAATATGTTCAAATTAAGTTAAATAAAAATAATAAGACAGTCCATGCAAATTTATTCAGTAATATCAGTTTTTATTCTGTTTTAGAGGGAAATAAATGTTAGTTTTGTGAAAAAATTTTACATTTACTTATATGAGTAGAGAAAAAACAATTTTCAAAACAAAGCTAGCAATTTTTACGAACCTCTACGTTTAAATATTATTGTTGTGACATCTATTAACGAGATAACGTATTAAGACAGGCGATTCTACAGGTTTCTATTTAATTCATCACAAATCTCAAAACTTCTCGGATAGATGTACGAGAAATTATATACTTTGATTAGTTAATTCTTTATTATACTATAGAGCGGGTTAATAAAATCATAGTTTAACTAAATCAAATTTGTTTGCCAAGGTATGGACATTGATTGACTATTGATAAATGATTTAGTCAAATGTTCTTTTTTTGTCAGCAGCGCCTTAAATTGGCCTTAATTTTGAAAACCAGAAACAGGCAAAGCGCGATCTACAAAATAATAGTAAACTGACCCCTTTTTAGCGCACTTCTTATAGAGTACCTAATTCTGGCTGTAAGATTAACTGACAGATAAAAATATGTTGTATTAAAGTTTTACGATGTAGCCATCTGCATATACGTATACAACATGTATTATTATATCGGGAAAATGAGCTCTATTAAACCTGTTTGGGTCATCAGGAACCCCCACATGACGACCTTGGATTTGAAGGTCATTATAATAAAATACTAGAATCGGCTCTAAGACGGTGGAATAATGATTTTCGTATCCATTAGATCTCTTACATGATTTTGAGGGAATAAAAATGCCAACGATAAACTTCTTATCCGAGAATTTGATCTTACTTACTCCGCATAATTAGTTTCACATAATATGCTGGAGATAGTTACACATCCTAAAGTATTTAGCGGTATTGCTTTCAGTTGACCTTGTAAAATTGATCATGGCCCTTCAAGGTCACCAGATGGTGGACTTCAACATTTGGAAACATGACTTACATGACAACTTAAACATGAGCTAACTTCGTTAAACAGATCGGATTCGGATTCAGCGACCCGAAACGTATGAGTATGGTGGCCTAGTCTATCACACATTGAATTTTTGCCCAGTAGGGGCTAATTTTACCATAAATGAAAAATATACTTATAATACATATAATATATTGTAACGAATTTGAAATGTTAATATAGAAACTCGGATGAAAATATTGCCTGACCGAACTTAAAGTCGTATAAAAATTTTAATTAATATTATAGCAACACCACATTGGTATAAAATTGTTAATATAGAAATTCTGGATATAAAACTAGTAATGAACAATGATATTACATAGTATAAAAATAGTAATCTTTTAATTTTATTCTCAAGTACAGAATAAATTTTCATAAAAATGCATGACATCGACACTTGCTAGTAAAGAAAAACGAATTTAAACCTAGAGTTACTTACATCAAATGAAAGCTAAACGTCTATAGATTAATCGGGTATACATACCGCAGGAAAACGAGTAAACTTAAAGAAAATATCTCAATCTAACATAAACCATAACCTAAAATTTTTTATCAAATGTCAAATTTTATAATAAATTTCACAAATGTTAAAGCTAAAGGTGGCTTTGTGAGAATACCCAGAGATGACCTAAGAAAAGAACATAAAATAAAGAATTTCTGTGCACGGACCTTAAGCAAAGGTAGGGACAGAATAATCAGGAAGGTGGATAAAAACAAAGAAATTATTGATTGGTTACGGCTTGGGTTTTGCAAGATGTGCAGCGTGGAGACGCAGCTCCCGAAAATTTAAAAATAAAATAAGAAGAGGGAGTCCAAGGAAGAAAATTAAATACTTATCAGTAAATCTATAGTTTGGCCAGAGTCCAGATGAAGTTATTTTGGCAGTCCATGAAAATTTTCCGCTACCATCAGTAGAAAGCAAATCCAAAGCAGTTTCCAGTGGCCCCATAAATAGTCTGCAAGGCTTCTATGTAGTTTCCAGCGAAGAAAACTACAAATTTCACGACGTAACAGGTACCTAAAACACTGTGCACTAAAATATCGCTAGCTATTTCAAATAAATCATGCTTTCTCTCGCATCAAATCTTTGCAAAGTATAAATAACAGACCACAGGACGTACCTGTACAAAAATAAGCAAAATCCGATCACTAATAACTTAAATAATTCATTATTTAGAAGAGCTCTGACAAACTGAACAGCAATTTTATTAAATTCTGACTAATTTTCATTCTTGTTCAGATGTAAGGGTGCCCCTGAATGATAGGCAACAAATAATGTAAGGATCTCTACTCCGCATTTCATAGATAAAGTTAATTAATGGAAATTTTTTAATAAGTCCTTATATTATTTGTAAGCTTAGCAGGAAAAGGCAAATTTTGTTGTTAAAAATATTCTTTATTGTGAAAAACATATTCTATATTAAAAAGGTATTCATAAATTTGAGTTTATAAAGTCTTCAAGTCAAAATAATAAACAAAATTTTTCATCACGTGTACTTTTTTCTGTAACATGATAAATAAAAATTGTTTTCCTTTTATTCACCGTTACCGTGGACGCACTGTATTGATTAAAAAAAAACAATAAGTAGAACTAATAACTTTATTATTACACACAACAATAATACTGTTTATAACTGGTAAAAAAATAATAACATGAACAATTCTTTTATCTGGCATAACTTTAAATAAAATTATGCTTAACTTTGTTCAGTAAATAAAAAAAGAACGTTACTAATTTTACGTTCCCAACTATCGATTTTGATATGTTTTGGGTGGGAATACTGAGTTGATTTAAATTATTACAAAGGAATTGTTCCAATAAACTTTGCAGTAAATTCAGTTTCTCGGAACTTTTCCAAAAACATTTTCATAACTTTTTTAAACCTTACATTTCTATGGGTATTTTACATAATTCCGTAACAAATAAATTATTATTACTATACACATAATATATACTCATTTTTTCATCCAGTTCGGCATTATTATTGTCACAAGCAAAATTATTGTCTAATACAGATCTTGTAGTATAGATTTGGTGTTCGAAAACTCTTTTGGTTTAATAATATTAAAAAAAATAGTAAAAATTTATATTTGAATAGCAACCATTTGAGCGGATGGTGAGTTAGAGAGATATGTATGTCTACATCTTCTGAGATGGTCACAAGATTTCCAAATTTTATTGTCTACGCATCTTTTCATCTAGAGCATGAAAAAAGATTGAAACAAAATCATCACAACAAATATACATATAAAATCAAAATATACTCTATATAACAACAAAACATGGACTCCTCTACGGCGTACAAAGGAGGCTGCCAAGCCCCTCTTAAAATCCTGAAAACAAGACTAGACTAACAGGAATGATTATGAAACTAGTAAATAAATAAAACAGACGCGCATATCTCTCAGTACTTGATGTCCTCTTTAGAGCTATGCGCTGCCTGGCGCCTCATATCTGAACCTATAAGGGCCGTCAGGACTGTACCGACGACGAGCATCACGCACATGGTGATGTTGGCCCACGCGTCACCGACATTGTAGAAAATAACAGAGTAGATGTTGGTGAAGATGATGCCGTAAACCTGGGAGGCAGCGTTTAACAGTCCCGCTGAAGTGCCTTCAGGTTCCGGGTAGGTTAGTTCAGCTGCTAGTTCGAAACCCACAGGGAGCAGGCCTGTCATGAAGAATCTACAAAAAAAAGTCACTTTAATCGTTAACAATCAAAATTATAAACTAATGATAACACAGGCCGAAAGATTTTGGTACGCTGAATTCGAATGCGAGGTCCAAATTTCTCAATTGGCTGTAATTTTCGAGATACCTAACCTAAAAGTGCCAAAATCGCGATATTTTGACATATTTGAGGTTATGTTGCATGTATAGGTACATTTTTTGCTAAAACCATTAATGCGGTCTTAAAGTACTATACTTGTTCTTTAAAACGCACTTAGTTTTATCCCGATATAATTTTTCGTCTTCGAGAAATCGCAAATTTCAACATACGATTTCTCAAAGACGAAAAATGATGTCGGGATACATCCAAGTATTAAGTCCCCATTAATGGAATTAGCAAAAAAAAATTACGTTTCCATGTAACATAACCCCAAATATATAAAAAATCGCGATTTAGGCACTTTTAGGTTAGGATATCTCGAAAACCAGGGCCAATTGAGAAATTTGGAGCTCGGATCCAATTCAGCGTACCAAAATCCTTTGTATTCGTGTTGTCAGGTTAAAATCTTACCGGCCTGTGTAATTAACAAGATGAATAGATATACGACGAAATAGTATATGTAGTGGCGATTTGTATGCTGTGATGCATTTTATTCTGCACCACGTTTCGTAAAATAGACGGTCGAGTAATAGACAGAAATTATGGGCGTGGCTTATCTCATACTACGTCACAAGATTTCTAACCGTTAGGGTTCATGTTTGTTTACATGCGACTTAACTAGTAATTTTGCATTTTTCTAAGTATTTAAGTAAATCTTTCATTGTTTGGGTATTTTGCAGTAATTAGTTAGTTGTTGATAATTGTTTTTAATAAATTGATGGTGTAGTGTTTAATATAAACTATTAATTTACCACGTAAAAATGCCAGGAGTGAGGTGTAGTGTTGCAATTTGCATTAAGAATTTTTATAGTGCTAGACAAGACAATTTAAAAATTTTATTTAATGTGTATCCTAAGGATAAAAAAAGATATGGGTGGAACGGTGCAAAAGACGCGATTTGTTTAATCATATAACTGGACATATTTGCAGTACACATTTTGAAGATTCAAGCTTTGAACGCGACCTTCAAGCAGGGGTATTGAGTTTATCATCAAGAAAAAGACTTAAAGAAAACAGGTTAAATGCTAAATTCACTTAGACTCAAATTACCTGTTATTTAACCATAATCAGAAGTGATTAAATTTATTATTTTATGTTAAAATGAGCGTGGTACAAGAAAAGTGACAATTTTAAATTTGCCTCTTATTTTTTTATGGGATATGCAATGAGTCAGAAAGAGATGACGGTTGAACGAAGATAAACTGAGGAATCTGGTGACGTATTTGTTTTTTTATTGGCTGATTGACTTATGCGGCGACCGTCTCTTTATGGACCGTGATTCTGCACTGGTAGTAACAAAGAACGCTTGCAAGCTGTAAAAAAAATTATGTAGCAAACTCCAAGGGCTACTCGAGTACATACTTGTAGGTACTTTTTCTGTTATGCCTGAAGCACACATTGTTCACAAGAATACAATGACATTTACGTCTCGGATCTTTATCTTTCGAGGTCGCTGATTACAAATCTAATGTAAACAATATAATTTGACAGTTGATAGCTGCCAAAACGCTGTCATATTGACGAAGCGACTCCAGATCTTGGATAATGTTGCTGGTAAAATGGTTTTTGATATCGTCGATTCCGAATCTGAAATGCCTCTTGACAGTTGACAGCTGTCATATCAGTATTGTCAAAATGACAGAATGAATTGTTTTTCGAGAAAGGATTGTTGGGAGTGGGAATTCCAAATTTGACAGTGAAAATCATTCTTGACAGCCGACAACTGTCGAGCTATTGAGACTGTTAAAACAAAAAGGAATCGATATTGTCAAAATAGCAATACCCAAGGAGTTTTTGAAGTTACTGAGCTCGAATTTGTGAAAATGATAACATGGATTGTTTTTTTACTGGTTTTTGGAGTTGCAGATTACAAGTTCTGCACTGAAAATAGCTTTCGAATGTTGGCAGCTGCCATATCGACACTGCCTTGATCGAATGAATGCATATTGTGGAAATGGTGGTTGAAGAATAAATGATTCGCGAAGATTTCATTTTGGGCCGCAATTTGTTTTGTCACAGTATCGACATGACAATTGTCAACAATCAAGAGGCATTTTTGATGTCAAAAATACCAACAAACCTTTTACCATCTCTCATTTATGAAATTAGATATACAGGATGATTCACAAATGGTACACCAAAAATAAAACCTTATTTTTTGGTGAATTTTAAGGGGAGTCTTTCCTGTAAAGTTTTTATCTAGGACGCTTCATTAAAAAGATACAGGGTGTTAAACTTCAAAAAATATCAGGCTTTTTTCGAAACGCAGTTTGTTTTTTAAGTTTTACTCGAAAATCAGGCTTTTTCGAAAAACTTAAAAGAGTAGTAATTTGTAGAAAATTGAAAGACGAATCCGAAAATATCATAGTTGTTACCGTAAAACAGTGGCGTACTATTTTATTTAGAAAAATATGCCACCGATACCCTGTATCTCCTCCACTGGAACATGTAAATTTTAGGAAAAACCTTCAGATTTTGGACAATGTTTACATAAATACATGTGCCCAATTTCAAATTATTTCACTTACTAGTTTTTAAATTATATAAAAAAATTAAAAATATTTTTTGAAGTTTAACACCCTGTATATTTTTAACGAAGCGTCCTAGATAAAAACTTTATAGGAAAGACTCCCTTTAAAAGTCGTCAAAGAATACGAGGTTTCATTTTTGATCACCGTTTGTGAGTCACCCTGTATATCGAAAAGGCAAATGNAGAATCGTTAATGTTGAATATTTTTTCATGAAATTTGGTACAGATCCATTTCAGGGGACGCCGAATCCAGTGGCGTACGCAGATTTTTTCTAAAAAAATCGCTAATATGGATTCTGGATTTTTCAGCCTCTGAATATGATCTAGTAGGCCTTGGTTAAAAAAAAACTGGACGCCGCTTGGCCCCAAAATACATCTTTTCTCCCTCCACATTTCAAAAAAAAATTCGTCAAATTCGCTCCATAAATAAAAATGTTATGAGGGTGGCCCGCTTTCAAATGGGTCACTCTGTATATTTTTTGGTATAAAAGTAAATTGTTTGACTTCATTTGATGGGATTTTTAAGATTTTTTAAAAAATTTATTTGAATTAGGTTTATACTTTATACCTTTATAATAAAGTAAAAAACTGGAGCTAATAATAAATTGAACATTTTTTAAAAAATTACGATTATGTACGTTTGTTTCTTGTTTTTTTTTTACGAAGACCTGCTTGGTGCATTTCAATGCCAAATTAGTAGATACGTATAACCACTAAAAACGTATCTTTAACCTTTTAATACCGGTGATCAGTAAAGGAATCTAAACATATTAAAAATTAACAAAGTAAACTATTTTATCTTCAGGATTGACTTTTCATTACAAACTAATCTTTAAGGAATCTCTATAAAAGTTTAAACGTTATTTGTTCCAGGATTAGTTGAAGTGGTGATATTATCGAGAGTTAAGTAGTTCTCTTGAAATGTATAATCACTTTCCTATTATACTGAAGATTTGTGGAATCACAAAACTATTAACAAAGTAGACACAATTAAAAGATATAGATATGGCTTTGTCAGTAGATTTATTTTATTTAAATGCGTTTAAATAACAAATGGCATTTAAATTTTAAACCATACGTCTTAAAATGGAAAAAAATATTTTCAAAATACTTTGTTTAGCACACACACAGAATTACTGATATAACGATGTCAATAAAATTATATTCCCTAAAATCCTTTTACTAAAACAGAAATTTGACAACGCTGCCAAAATATTCAAAAATATTCCGCTTAGATAACTGTTTTAGTTTCTACATAATAGGCCCATTCAGTGATATTTAATTTTAAACTTTTTCTTTCATTTTCTGATAGTATTTAACCACCTAATTATATCTTTAAAAAATTAGGTCAATAGGATTAATAATAAGTGATATATTTAATTTTGAATTTGTAAGACCCTTAAAAAGGTCAACACTGCGAGAGAACAGCTAATGACGTCACAATACCGGCCACTCGGCGATCAAGTCGCGAGCAGACGGAGAGATGTGTAGATATTTGCTATACTTTTACCTATATTATATACCTATATTTTTAAGTGTATAAATAGAGAGTGTATAAGAGATATACATCAAGTCTTGTTAAAATGCATTTTTCACACAACATATTTATTATAAACATAGAATGTCTTGGAATATCTAAATACATTTTCGGATTTTTCTCAATGACGTAAATGGTTCGCTTTTCTACATTTTCTGTTGCTTTCCATTTTTGTACAAATGTACCCAACGTACTAGACTCGGTACTTGTGGATGTATGCGACGACGTGTATGTGCGAGCAACTCAGAACCACCCTCGTTTTTCTTTGGTTGCCCGTCTAGGGGGTTGTAAAATATTATTATTTAAATAAATTGCTTATAGGTGCCTCTCGCAACGTATTTCGAAATTTTTGTGGACGGGAACGTTTAGATGGGGTAGAATTTTTTTTTTTTCGACATAAATTTGAAAATTTTGCTCTAAATGTTTAAATAATAATATTTATAACCCCTTATACGAGCAACCAAAGAAAAACGAGGGTGGTTCTGAGTTGCTTATAGGTCCCTCTCGCCGACGTATTTCGAAATTTTTGTGAACGGGTACGTTTAGATGGATTTTTTTTTCTGTATAAAATTTAAAATTCTGCTCTAAATGTTGAAATAATAATATTTACAAAACCCTAGACGGGCAACCAAAGAAAAACGAGAGTGGTTCTGAGTTGCTTATAGGTCCCTCTCGCCGACGTATTTCGAATTTTTTGTGAACACGAACATTTAGATAGGGTAGAATTTTTTTTCCGGCATAAAGTTGAAAATTGTGTTCTAATGTTCAAATAATAATATTTTACAACCCCCTAGACGTGCAACCAAAGAAAAATGAAGGTGGTATTGAGTTGCATACCGTGGCTGGGGAAACCGTGGATAACATCACACAAACTTTTCATTTTTCGGTAATGAAATAAATATTTTATTCGGAGTCGATCCTGAGGTACTTTTGCAGCCTGGAACTATTCAATATTTGTACAATCCTCGGTTTCGACCCATTTAGACATAAAAACAATGATTAACGAAACTGCCAAGCGAACCACACACCGTATGTATTAACACAGAATGGGATGAGAGCGAGCGGAGTGTTCTGCCAGTCGCCCGTACCGGTATTATGACGTCAGCAATGGTTGCTCAACGTTTTACCGCGCTCTGTTTTCATTAATTTATTTCACACATTTCTCGTTGAAACAAAAAATTGATTTTTGGCATACTAACTAATAAAGGGGTAAACATTTGAAATACGCAATAAAAAAATTTTACTGAATGGGCCTATTAACTGGCAAAGTGTGATTTTCATTTGTCAATTGTTTCACATTTTGAGCTATTATAATTATATCAGTATTTGTATGCAGGCGAAATAAAAAAGTGTTTGTTTGTCTGCAAATTGTACTCACCCCAACAGAGCTGAAACTATGTAGACGATATAAATTCCTCTGGATAACGTGAAAGTATACGCGATCATACCAATCAGTGAACAAGCATATACCACCAAAGTTGTCTCCCTACAAAAAAACTATATTTAAATACTTCTTTTTTGATATCAACCAGTTAGGTCGTTTGGCCATAACTTAATTAACATTCGTACATCGTCAGCGTAGTTTTATTGGTAGTTCAAAGGATTTCGAATTACTTACTTGAATTTGTGATATCTATCGAGGATTAGACCACAAACGACAGAACCCGCCATTCCTGCCACAACTATTACCAGTCCTATACGTCCTGCATCGGCACTGGCACCCTGCAGAAAGAAATTAAGAAAGTGTAGAACTCATTTGTTAATTATTTTCTTACATTTCAAAAGTCGATAGCAATCTGAATCGCAAACTAACAGTTTCACTTTTATTTATTCAAAAAAGGGCAGACGTATTAACATTAGAAACTTGAAGGGAAAGTAGTGAAAGACTCGGACATCGAAAAACTACCAAGATATCAGACAGAAGTTTCAAGAATAACAGAACTTAAATAAATCATAAAGAAAAAAAAGTGACAAGTCTTTAACCAACTCCATTGGAGAGGTTGGACTGTTTAGGTATAACGAGGGCGATATTATTGACCCCGACAGCTGCGCTAGAAGTCATGCTAAATCGTTAGTAGCATAGCGACTCAGGAATAATAATGACTGGAGAGGTCTATTGAAGGATTATGGAAACATCTATGTTGGAACCAACTCTGGGGATGGTTGTCAGGATGGTTCCAAGGTTTCACTTCCATGAGTCTTTCGAGACTCCAATAAAGAGAGAATCAGACCAAATGGGAGGAAACGGAAACCTCGGAGAGATGGCTCCAAAATGGTCATGGCGACAGATGCAGGAATATATGGGCTCAGACCCATCTGGAGTGTAAGCTAGAATCTGGAGAAGTTTCCCACTGTATTTCAAGGAAAAATGTTCACGATCATGGCGTGTTTAGCAGAGAATGTTATAAATATAAACTCATATACATATTCTTTGACAATCAAGCAGCAATTGAAACTTTATACGCACATAAGGTAAGTTCAAAACTTGCGTGGGAATGTTTACAAATGCTGACCAAACTGGCTACCACTAATACAGTTAGACTGTGTTGGGTGCCAGGATTCAAAGGCATCGACTTGCTAGGAAGGGATCCGAAACAGTTTTAATTGGTTAAGAGCCCTTCTGGGTCACATCTCCTAGTGTGGTCAGGAAGGCTCTGGGCAAATGGACTCAGTTAGAACATAGGAAATACTGGGCTTTGACACCAGGGCAAAGCCATGCGAAGGAACTTACAAGTGTCCTTGCAGAAAAGAACAAATGTGTTGCCGAGGTTCAATAAAATTCAGCTCGGGAAAGTGATGGGACTTATAATGGGACACTGTCACTTCATCTATACAAGCTAGGGCTTGTAGACAGTCTGATCTGCTGAGGATCTGACTTGACAGATGGAATTTCTATGCATGTTCCATGCGGATGCCCATGAAAACCCTTTTTGGAGCCCAGAGAGCTGACAGAAGTATCTACAAAGTAGTTTTAGGACTTTGTACAATGAACAAAACTACTTGCTGAATAAGTTTGAACAGTGGGATGCACAATGGGCCTGATAAGGCCGCGGTACTATGCAACTTGAATAGAACCTATCTACAGGCAAGAAGAAGAAAAACTCCATTGTATATTAAAACACGAATTTTAGTTCAGTTAAAAGTACAATTGAACTTGACCAAGATTATATCAAGTCTACCTTTAAAGGCAATGCAAATATTTATGTTTATGGAAAAAGCATTCGTCAGAACTATTATATGTTGCAATAACTGTATAAAGTTTGTGCTGATAACGAAAATGTCAATGATATTTTGGCTCTAGCTAATAAAATATGGGAAACGTATTAATCATCAGATAATTTTATAAATTCACAGAAAAAAAAATTATTTTGCCTCGTATTAATTCCTTGGTAGACTAAATACGATAATTGAATCATTAACATAAGATTTTAATAATTTTTTAATCCATTTAAATGTAACACAAGACAAGAAGCAAAAAAAAACAAATAAAACATATTGTCTTAGAAGCTAACAGTGATAAATTGCATTTTCATAAATGGAGGTTGGCTGATATTTCAGTTATTCCTAAAGATATTTTTAATGATTGCCCTGTTATTTTACAAAATTGTATTTGTAAGAGTCCCCTGTAGGCACATTCAAAATTTTATTTGGATAAGTTCTGAATAATCCTGTATAGTAGCTAAGCAAAATCCTGATGACCGATGACCTTGTACTATTGGGCTAAATAGTATTGGTTGGCAACAAATGAAGTCACTCGACTAAATTTAAATATCAGCTGCACTCGGTAAGTTTTACTAAGGTAAATTTTTTCCAATCAGTTTCACTAATTGAATAATAATAAAGAATAAATGAATATTGTGCCCTGATTGATAACAGATTCTAACTTGTTTTTATTGCTTAACTACTTTTCACAACACCTACAAATAATAACATTAGACAGAGACAAAAAATCACATCACACGTGTCTACAAATTAAATCAAAATATTTGTAATTATCGTTACAAATTATCATGCTTAATCCGCCCACTTCAATTGTTATTTAACTCCACAATCTTTGATAAAATTTGAGATATTCGATTACGTGTGACGGCATTGTGAGAACTCAGCAAGTTAATTGAATAACTACTTGTGGTAATAACAAAAAAAACACTTACGGGATAATATTGAAGGATGATTTGGTTCAAGAGCGTGGATATAGCGTAAAATATACCCACGTTGATACCGTAAGCGTTGAGAAGGAACATGTAGGAACGGTTTTTCACTAAGTTCTTCAAGGAAGCTACAAAGTTAACTTCTTCGGCCTTCTCCTGCTGAGCAGCGGCGTAGGAGGGGGGCGTGTCGGGAGCATTTTTGAAAACTGAAACGAGAAGGATTAAAATTTTTCACCTCAGTTTTGAAAATCACGCCTGTTCACTATACTTAGACAAAACAAGGTATTTAGTCCGGTCAAATTAGTCATAAAAATAGTGGTCAAATAACGAAAATTCCGACAAAGCTAAATTTTGGTGGAGACCTTGGGTACACCATTAGAAATAAAGTGTCAAAAGTCGCCACCGAGCCCATGTGTGCTAAAAAAGTTATTCTGGGTCAAAGGTCAAAATTTGAGGTTTTTTGGATTTTTTTTCGAAAACGGTAAGTTTTATCAAAAAAGTAGTTCTGACAAAAATTATAGATGTTAAAATTATCTACAAAAATGGTCCTTATACTTTTTTTTTTAAGAACCACCATTCCTGTGATATCGCGATTCTAAAAGTTGAAGGAGTCACGTTCTACATGATATGCACATACATGCAACGTATATACATAGTCGGGCCCTTAATGCAAGTAAAAATGCCTATTCGTGTCTCTTCTATGTATAAACTATACTATTCTGAGAATATACACTCAAAAGAAACTCAGTCCCTTAGTCAAAATGACGCAGATATCCATATAATTGAAACAGAAACAGAACAATTTAATGCAACAAATACAACTATTGTAGTTGGTGAAGATGTTGACTTATTAATACTACTCACTGCAAGGACTCCAATTGATAAAATTATATACTTTTTAAAACCTGCAAAGGCTCAACAACGAACAGAAATATATTCTTCAAAAAGTTTATCTGCTTATCGAAAATGCCAAAACCATATCTTATTTTTACATGCGATACCGGCTGCGATACTACATCAGCAATGTTCAGAAGGGGTAAAACATCACTATTAAAATTATTTGGAAAAAAGATTTGATTGATTGCAGAAATTGATTCTTCACCTCAAACAATAATCACAAAAGAAATTCGCTTTCTCCTTCCTGTTAAGGAGCTCCAAAAAAAATTGATTGTATAGATAAATATAGATATTTAACTTCTGTAAAAAATACACGAAACTAGAAACAAGTACAACTATCTTGTCTTCCTCCAACATCGGCTTCTGCTAATCAACACTTGTATCGAGTTCAGACATGGCTAGACAATCAACTGAACCCAGAAGAGTGGGATTGGATATTAACAGATAATACTTTGGAACCGATTCAAACTTTATTTCCACCTGCTCTGGAAAAACTCCTAAACACTATTTTTTGCAATTGCAAAAAAGGTTGTAGTGCTAAATGTGGCTGTAGAGGAGTAGGGTTGCTGTGTTCTCCAGCGTGTACTAATTGGCAAAGCCAGTCTTTCTCAAATGTCCAATTAAATACAGCAGACGAAGATTCATGTGATTTCGATGAAGAGACAGCTGATTCATCTTCATTTGAACAATTTACGAACATCCAACAAGAAGAAGAGGAAGAAGAAGAACTCGAAGAAGACATGACTGTTGAGGTCGACTTTGAAGAGTATGAATCAGATTAAAATATCAAAAGAAATCAGAACTACAGTTAAAGTCAATAACCAATATTAATATCAATAATCATCATACAGTTAAAAGAGTATTGTCCCTGAAAATTCCGTCATTACAGTTCGTGGAGTAGGTCTACCGGGGAAAACACGTTAAAAAAACGCGCCAAAGTACACTACCCCACAGGTGGTGTGGAAATGTGTGCATATCATGTAGAACGTGACTTCTTCAACTATTAGAATCGCGATATCTCAGGAATGGTGATTCTTAAAAAATATATATAAGGACCATTTTTGTAGATAATTTTAAGATCTATAATTTTTGTTAGGGCTACTTTTTTGATGAAACATACTGTTTTCGAAAAAAAATCCAAAAAACCTAAAATTTTGACCTTTGACCCCGAATAACATTTTTAACACACATGGGATCGATGGGGACTTTTGACACTTTATTTATAATGGTGTACCCAAGGCCTCCACCAAAATTTAGCTCTGTCGGAATTTTCGTTATTTAAAATGTCTATTTTGACCGGGCTAATATTCGGGAATCGTGACTGACAAAAGTGAGGTGAAAAATCTTCAGTAAATGTAATAAAAATTATTAGAAAACTTTTACTGGAGTTCCATCTTTATAATCTATATTTTCTTAAATAACAATTTCATCAGTGAAAACCTGGCAGAAAATTTAACACAGTTTCCAATAGAAATAGAAATTTTATTATTACAAGCCCCCTAATAAAATAATAGTACAATTTTATTACTATTTAATATGCACTTTTCTCCTTCAATGCAATAAAATTTAAACAATAGTAGTATAAAATGTAAAATTACTCTTAAAACATCATGGAAATCTGGTTGCTACCAGTACAATATTTCAATTTGTTTACCGAATTCATTAAAATCCTCAAGTTATCTTACCTTAATACCTAAAAATAGTAGCTGTTGTTAAATAATATATTTGACTTACATATTATGATCAATATCAGCAGAACTGTTGTCACTGCACTAGTACCAATGAAAAGCGTGTAAAACTGACGAGTGGTGGCGGCGAGATCGTCAGTGGTTTGCACTATCATTGGGGGGAGAAGAAAACCAGATGCCACACCAAGCTAGAAAAGAACACATTATTGTAGTTTTATCGATTTTGACACTTTCTGATAGCACACCCTGTAGTTGTACTCAGTACATGAGTACTTTAAACTTCATGGGGAAATCTAAATGTAATTCCTTGTTTTTATTAATAAATTGTTATGTTGCAAAGGGGACGCGACAGACATGAGCTTGCAGATAGGCATGAAACAATAAAGTAATTGGTGATGATCGTTGACTAACGGACATCCTTATAGAGAAGTATCTGCGACTTACTTAAAAATGAATTAGTCGTTTATTTGAGAAAGGTACAAAGTAACATACTAAATAAGAATTAAATATGGTTCTAAGGCAAAAATGACTACGTATAATATTCGTGTTTATCTCGTCAAGCTACTCCATATTATGTACAAAAGGATTTTTGTACATGGTAAAGAAGACGAGATATCAAAGATTTTACGAGCTATTTGAGATGCACATCATCAGTTTTCGTAGCGATTAAGATTGTTCATCAAATTAGTACCTTTCCGAAATAAACGGTTTTTAACAAATATTGCTTTGTTGACAATTTGCAGACTCTATACCTTGTCCTTTGCTAATAACCCTTACCTGGTTTCCAAAAACTCCGATACTGCACGCTGATGACACCTGCGACGGTCCGAACCAGACAGCAGCCAGTCTTGCTGGTAAGGACAAGACGAAGACCTGAGACAAGGCCACTATGGACTGACCAATGAACGCCAGCCAAAACCTATCTGGATGGACTGCTCCGACTTTTATCCAGGATCCAGCGCATGTCCCTATCATGCCGATTATGATGGCCTTCCTCAAACCCTGCAAACATTTAACAGTACAGTCGTGGACAAAGATATTTTAATCTTAATCACTTTTTTCTGTGGAAAAGGAAGCTTATGCTCATGTTGCAAATATGACGTTGTCTATAGACCAGAAAAAGGAAACGTAGCTGCTGAATCTTAATCACGAGTGTGTTGCAGTATTCATACTGGAGGTAAATAGTTTAATATTCATAAATGAAAATAAAAAAAAACCCAAAGAAATTATCAGAATCATACTGTTGCTGTTACTGAAGATACTACCGAATAAAACCAATGCTGAGGTAGCAAAAGAATGTCGTAATTCCTGAATTCTTAATAACTAATTATTTATTTATAAGTATTGTTATAACTGCACTGTCAGTTATCAATGTTGTATGTAGTGGAATTTTGCAAATTACAGCCTAGTTTGGAGGTATATTACATCGACGTAATGGAAACTTATTTGCACAAACATTTTTCAGAATTTTAGTCATTAATAAATATTAATTATTCCCTCTTAAATCTTTTAATATAGTCAATTATGTCTAGCACTGATTTAAGATAATCCTTTCTTAATGTCCTTTAACAATGATATTATAAAATAATCGATTTATAGATTTTGTCTAAGCAATTAATCTCGATTGGATAATAGATATACTGATAAAGATAACAAATGTCTACGGTTCAAGTATTTAGTGATAGTTGGCTGTTTATTAAACAAAATGTAAGTAAGCTAAACAAATAAACGTGATCTTTTGAGATGTGGGATTTAAGATATTTGTTGATTGTTTTCGGTCGTAAAAGTTATTAGTACATATTGCATTTTTTTCTTAAATTTTTTATATCATGACGTCATAACTTTTCCAGGTATGAAGTATTATTAAGTATTTCAAATAATTTTGTCCAACTTTAACTTAAAAAACAAATGTATTTTTAATGCAAACAGATATTTAAAACTATTTGCCTAAAAAATATTATTATTACTAAGTCAAACAGCATTAGTTCAATTATTTACTGACCAAATTTCGCTAAAAGATATACAAATTTTTACGTAATTTTTTAAATTGAACTGAACTATTAGCAATGCATTGTCAATGTTATCATGAAAATTTGAAGATAAATAAATAAGTGTGCCAATTCTGCAGTCGACAAAAGTGCGAAACTATGGCCGAAAAATCACAGACGACCTATGACACACATCGGAAGGTGCAAATCAAAACAAAATTTCACCCCAATTACGGCCAACACCATCTGCCGTAGCGGACGATGCTAACAGACCACGCTATCAATGTTGAACCATCGCCAACAGCTCACCAAGACGCGAAAATTTTCAACTCACTTCCGAATATTTGAAAATTAAAACATTTCCAAGAATTAAGAGCACGACGTACTCTACAGAAGTGTTAGTTGAGGTTGCCATGAAGAGAGAAGAGTTGCCATCACTCCATTCGACTCTTCGCCGGTGAACAGGCGACCCAGGCACCGCACGTGACACACGAGATCTCGATAAACTTCCGCTCAACCCAGTAGTAGAGGTATGGGGTGCAAAACCATAACCTACTCCCAGTAGATTCAATGAATCATATTCCAAGACAATATATTCTTTAATTGAAATATTTCTTCATTAATAACATTGTTGGAAACAACTACTCTACCAGTGGACAATTAAGATACGACACATTTTAGGTTATATCTCGTCTAGACTTGAAATAGTTCTCTTGGATCACAACCTGCTTTCACACTATAGGATCTGTGTTGATAATTTTAGGAAAAGAACAAACACTGTTTAACTGTTTAGAAATTAAATATTAATATTGAAATCTGCAACAACTCGAACGTTATTAATAGCGTGATTATTGCCAAAATCTAATCCGCTTAATTCTTCTAGTATAAACATTTTACGGTACCAATTGGCAATAATTATTTTACTTAAGTATTTATAGGGTTTAAGTTAATAAAATTTATTGCCAACGATAATGAAGTAAAAATTTATCAGGTATTCTGTTTTTAGACCACGAAATAACTGGTAAATATTTAATTAGTATATTACAGTGGAATGAATTTGATAATTTTGAATGTATCACTAAAAAAAGTTAATAGATCTTTGCTAACAATTATAATGAATTTATTAATTGTTATACATATGACATACGAAACGTGTAAAATATGAATGAGTAATACTTAAGTATAGTTTTTAGGGCTTAATTAAAAGTGATTTTTTATATGCACATTTTTTTTAATAGAACACTTGTTGAGAACCTAACCTAACGCTACACATCTGATGGTGCTCTGTGATCTGATTCAAGACATTTATTGTTTCATCTTTGAAATGCAAGAATCAATTGTTTTTTCTATATTGCTTTAAAAATGCTAGAAAATGTTCTCCAAACGGGGAAAATTTCAAAGCATCTCAAAGCAAGCTCTGCCGCGGTTGTTACAGTACTTTATTGGCTTGTTTCTGGAATTCTATTCACTCTGTATATTAAAAACTAATTTCTCCGTAACACTCCAAAGGCAAGACAAGCATATTTCTTACGAACAAAAATGAATGTTTCATAAATTTTTCGAACTCACCAGTTTCTCTAACAAGTAGCTTCCTGGAAATATGAACGGAATATACAAAACCATGTATATCATGGAAGTCCAATCCACCCAATTCGTTGACGTGCCATAGTACTTAACCACCACGTCTGCTATGATGGAAAATTGCAACCACTGGGTGGAATTCGTGGCTGAAAACCCCACGAACAAGGCCAAGATCAGCCATCGGATCTTGTAGACTTTAATTTTTTCTATCGTAGGTAACTGCCCAACTTTGACTTCTACATCGGTGTTGTTCATTTTTCAAATGCCTCAGCGATAAAAGTCTACAACAAAAACGCATGAAAACTAGTTGCGGGATATATATGGGTAAGTAATATCACCGGTCAATAAAAATAATGACAGGATATAAGTTTAATTGTGTACGATTATAAGTAACAAAATGTTTATAAACATTATATTGCAACTTCTACGCATTTCGCCATTCACTTTTTAGAGCAATTGTTTTTTTTTATGAGTGCAGTATAAGTATTTAGTTTGTCAGGTAATGCATCTTTTTATGGCCACGGGTGTATCCCGACCAATAAATTATTTTAAAAATATTCACTACTGATACCTGACGATAATATTGCTTTTTAATACCAGTTAGTTGCGTTTTAACAACAGTGCGATCTACGAAATATAACAAAATATACCTAGGTTTTTTTTTTAAGAGAGAAAAAATATTTTTACTTCAACACTGGATTTTAACAACCGCTTTAGACCAGCGGCCGCTGGTGCGGGGGGCTCTGGGGTGCCAACCCTAGAAATTTTCAATGTAAAAATATTTAATTTAAAATTTAGCTCAACTTGCAAAATTCGTTTGCGAAACACTGAATACGAGGGTTCCTCGCAGCTCGCTTCTATATTTGTAAAGTGTTTACAGCGGTGGTCATGGTTTTAATCTCAATTTACTCAGGAACTACCTTTCGAAAACGTCTTGAAAATAAGATACATGTATTTGATGAAAATAAATACTTATTCTTTGAAATGTAATAATTTCCTAATAAACAAAATGATAACGAGATATTAAAATATATTGATATTCATTTGAAAAAAAAACTCAATTTTGGACTAACTGACAAAGTTGAAATCATAGAAACTCATTACTCTTCCTGGGTAAAGAAAATAAAATCTTTCCATATTTTGTATTATTTTAACATTTGGTCAAGTTGCTAAATTTTTTATATAAGTTAGTTTGAGGTACATAATAACAATAAATGACAGTAATTTTTTTTCATCCCTCAGCCAGGGGTGAAAAAAAGTGTTTTTAAAAGGTAATAGCTAGAAAAAACGTTTCTTATAAAAGTTGTAAATTATAAAACTTTACAAAATGGTCTACTTTTTCTTCTATTATTAAAATTAAGTGATGTTATGAGAATTTTAAAAAAATCAAACCGAAAAATTAATGAATTTTCAAAAGTTTGATTTTTCAATCTTCTCTTAAAAATATTAATTTTCCTTTCATAGAAATATATATCCATTTTTTATTTTTATCAAAAAAGTTATAACAACTTTAATTTTTTAATTGCCAATTTTAATGATCTAACAACACGAAAACTTTTTCTGTACCATTCGATTCATTATTTAAAATAATGAAGAGTTGCTTTGGAATTTTATTTTACCGTAAATTTTCTGGCAGGTACAAATTTGTTTACCTTTTGAATTTTATTAAAAATAACGTTTTATATAGAGGGCGTCCCAGAATAACTTGTACAACGGAAGACCACAGATTTGTGGACTCAAAATAGACAGATTTAGGCTAATTCACCTATATCCGAAATCGCTTTGTTTGGCCGCTAGATGGCCTCAAAGTTAGTGAAAATTTTTTGAATTTTGTAAATAACTCGAATATGTATTAATCGATTTTGATTATTTTTGGGGTGTGGACTTTTGCTTTCAATATACAAATTTTGATGTTATACAGGGTATTTTTTAAAACTCACAACTCCTACAAAATTCATGTATGGTGTATGTATCCGTTCATAATTTTTTCCTGTTTCGGGCAATGATGACAACTATTTTTTATTTGTTCGGTGATACCATTTGAAAATTTTTGGGCCTCTTATAGAATTTTGATTAAATGAGCGGTTTGGGTACAAAAAAATATTTTTTAAATGTCTACATTATCTGGCCATCCATATTACAATACTTAACAAAGTGCTAGTAGGTTCTGATTTTGTAGGTTGACTGTAATTTCAGACTGATCTTTAAATCATTGTGCCTGACAATTCTTAATGAGTGTTTACGACGATAAGATATACCACCTGTTACTTGACTTTTCGATATGGATACACACATACGACGAATTAGAGTTATTTACAACGTGCCTAATTTTATTGAAATAATTCGTAAAAACAATCAAATACATACAATAAAAAATGCTGGAGATAAAAATAACATAATTGAGGTTATTAAATTTGGTACAACTTATAAAAATTGTTCAACAAAGGTTAATTCGGCGAAGAAAGTTAAAGGACACCCTTTGCAGTTCTTAAGGGCTATTTTTTAAAACATGAGTTTTTGATATAAATTAGTTTGAGATACATAATTACAATAACAGTAATTTGTTTTACAAAAAAGTAAAATAAATTGCTTTTCAAGATAACAAAAGGGGTAAAGCTCTAAAAAAGTTTCTTATAAAAGTTGTAGACTATAAATTTATCACAAAAATTATCTCTTGACTTTTGCTTCTACTACTAAAATTAAAAAAGAGTCCAATCTTCTCCTAAAAATATGAACTATCTCATTTCTGAAAAATAGACATATATTTTTTGTTTTTATTAAAAAAATTATAACAATTTTAATTTTTTAATTTTCAATTTTAATGATTTAACAAAACTAAAACAATTTTCTTTCTGTACCAATCGATTTATTATTTAAAATAATGAAAAGTTGCTTTTTTTTCTTTTGCTTTTCAGGCAGGTACAAATTTATTCACATTTTGAATTTTGGTTAGCTCCTATGACATTGCCACGAAAAAAGATAAAAAATTACTTTCGCTATTGTCGCACTCGTGGTACCGATGTCCTGAAGAACTTGTATGCTTATGACAAAGATAGATTTATAATACATAGAGACCCAGAATGGTTCAAGCATTTGAGGAACGCAACCTGTTTCTAACACCATCTTTAGCATACAGTGCTTTCGAAAAGTAACGAATAAATTCATTATTTTTTCATAACAAAAATTTCAAGAAAATAATGTTTGAAGATTTTAAAATTTAATTTTCACAATACTGAAAATGATAATGATTATGTAAAAATTGACTAAATTAAATTGTGCACCGTTGGCTGCCTGACAGTAGCCAAGACGATTAATAAATTCTTTTTGGACATTATCAATAACTTCAGGAAGTATACGATGTATCTCGTGACGAATTCTGGCTTTTAAATCTTCTAAATTAACCGGTCTAGTAACGTATACTTTGCTTTTTAAGTATCCCCACAAGAAATAATCTAGGGGTGTCAAATCAGGCGATCTGGCTGGCCACTCAATCGGCCCCCTTCTCCCTATCCAACGATTCGGGAACAGCTCATCTAAATAAGCACGGACAGGTGTTGCATAATGGGGAGGTGCACCATTTAGTCGATTTTTACATAATCATTATCATTTTCAGTATTGTGAAAATTAAATTTTAAAATCTTCAAACATTATTTTCTTGAAATTTTTGTTATGTAACACCATAATTTTTCATGATCTGTGTATGTAGAATGACACGCTCTTTCAAATGGCATGGTCAAAATTGGGGGTTGCTATTTAAAAAAATTGTCGATGACGTCATATCTCGAACAACGATGACGTCACAAATATGGGTCGTATGTCAAAAAGTGCCTTTTTTAAAAACAAAATGCCAGGGGATTTTTTCGAAAACTTCTCAATTTAAAAAATAATGAATTTAATCGTTACTTTTCGAAAGCACTGTATAAAAGTCTGTAGTATTGACAGAGACAGGCACAAGCTGCGATCTCCACACTTCAATCATTGTTGTCTTTGTCGATGCACATGGGTCATATGTATAAAAAAAATTCGGAAGTAGCTTTTCGTTATTTTAAATAATAGAACGAATGATACATAAAAAAATTGTTTTTGTTTTGACATACCATTAAAATTGTCGATTAAATAAATTAAAATTGTTATAACTTTGTTATTAAAAATAAAAAAACATTATGTATTTCTCTGACAAGAATGTTTATATTTCTTGGAGTAAATTGAAAAAAAAAGTTTAATTCATTAATTTTTCTGCTTATTATGATTTTTTAAATTTATCATATCATTCCTTAACTTCTAGCCTTCCTAACATTGTTAATTTTAGTAGGAAGAGAAAAAGTCAATAGATCATTTTTATGTAAAATTTTATACTCTACAACTTCTATAAGACACTTTTTTTTCTAGCTCTTATCCCTTTTGAATTATCTTATTTTTTTCATCCCTGGCCAGGAGTTGAAAATTGTTGTTGAATTACTATCACTCATTGTTGGCAAGTTGATCAAAATTGTACTTGTCCATTTAATTGGACTAATCTTAAAAAAATATTAGGTTATACTCACCACTGAAAATATAATAAACGCTTTTACAGACGAAGGCACCACCAAAGTACTTCCGCATTAACGAATTCCTTATCAAAACACTACAGTTCTAGTTTGAGGTGTGAGATGTTTCTGCTCTGCCTACCGGAGCCGTCAAATATATAAGTTCTCGTGGCAAAATTATTAGCAAAACGTTAATCTGATACTCAAACTATAATAACACGCAATTCAAATATTCACATACACTCGATGACTGTGATTTGTATTCGAAAATTAGTGAGTATTATCTTAAAAATGTGTTATCTTAAATATTAAAGCGACAAGCAATTTCGCTCGGCATGACGAGATCTAGTTGTGTATTTGTTAATTAAAAAGTCACATAGGAATTATTATTTCGTACAATTATTCTTCAGTGTTTTCCCGTGACGAATTCGAGAGGTAATGTTAGAAATAAATACCTTTTATACAGGGTGTTTCACATAAAAACCGACACAGAGGAGGGCATATATGGTGATTTATATTCCTTATAAAGTAATGGTGCATCATCCCTTATCAAACCTTTAAAATGCTCCAATTGAACTCTGCTTATTGTCAATTAGCGCTCTTGGTACACTCACTCCGTGTACCATATTTGGTTTTTCTAAGTTCAAGTATGACTGAGATATTTTTTTTTTATCGAAAATATGTGAAGTTGCGTTAAATCACCATATTTTGGGTTCCCCTACATACCCCTGCTCTGTGTCGGTTCGTATCCAAAACACCCTGTATATTTTTATTACAGATACAGTTATGGAAACCTAATTCTCATTATTTTCAGTCGCACGAAATGGCGTTGGAAAAAACTGTCACATTGAGTCAACTTGTCAGTTCATAATTTATCATTCCTTTTTAAGTTAATGTTATTAGTTAATATTTATTTGTGGTATTCTATAAAATAATAAAAATTAAGTATTTTCAGAAATGTTGCTACATCTTAAAAACTAACAGCTTTGCGTGTAGAACATACTTAAAAAAAGTTGAAGTGGATCGATATGTGAATAAAATAGAACAATAAAATACAGGGTGTTTTGAAAAATTTTAGAAAATCAAGATTGAACTTTCTAAAAATGAGCATATTATAGAAAATGCCTTGTATAAAATATCGATATTAGATAAAATAGGAGTCTTTTCCTAACATTTGCCTATAACTCTATCAAATAGTTTTGCTCCAAGTGTTAGTAGTTGAAAGTTAATACAACTTCTTCGAGGTCATGTTTTTTCCAATATTCGAAGAATTTTCTACATAACTTGGCAACCCCGCACTAAAATGATAAACTGTTTGTATTGCCATATATAGAATTTTCTCGTAAATCCATGTTTAAAAATATACGTGTCCCAAAAGTATGGAAACAGCACAATAACTTTCGAAAAATGCATTTTGAGGAAAAGTTAAGTTAATGAAAAGAGCGGAAAATTTTACGTTCAGATATGTCCTTGACTATTTTCCAAGATGGCGGATCCAAGATGGCGGACGCGGTTCCAAAATATTAACCGATTTACGCCAAATTTGGTATAGGGGGGTTTTTGGGGTCGCTGACTACGAATCTGAAATCTGTTTTTGAGGAATTTTAGTCCAAGATGGCGGACGCGATTTCAAAAATCAACCGATTTTTGCCAAAATTGATATAATGCGGTTTTTGAAGGTGAAGGTCACGGTCAAATCAAGGGTCACCGTCAGATAGCCAGGGAAAAATCCTACAACGTTAGTTATGATCATTTTTTTTGCAACCCGTTGTTTTCAAGACAGCGCGCCAAACCATGCGTGACCTTGATTTGACCTTTAATGACCATCAGAGGTCAAATTCGGAAAATGGTCAAGGACATATCTGAACGTAAAATTTTCCGCTCTTTTCATTTCCGGGGTCAAAACTAGGGCATCCCATTTGAAAAAATTTACTTGACCTTGAAATAACCTTAAAGGTCAAGGTCAAGCTCAAATCTAGGGTAACCATTGAATAGCCAGGGAAAAATCCTAAATTTTTTGTCTGATTAACTTTTCATCAAAATGCATTTTTCGAAAGTTATTGTGCTGTTTCCATACTTTTATTACATTTTTTAAATGGAACACCCTATACAGGGTGTCCCTTTTAAAAAATGTAATATTTGGCGTGTCCCGTTTTTACTCATCACCCTGTATGTATCAAATTAATTTTGTAGTTTAGGTTTCTTGATTCAATATGACTTTTATATAAACTTTTTTTTCTGTATTATGAATAACAAGGGAGTTATTTTACTTTCTCACACTAATGGCCCACCCTGTATATCCGACGGTACATGCAAAATAAAAAATTTACAAATTATCAATAAAAAACATTTTTTATATTTTTTTGACATCCTGTATTTCGAAAACGAAACATTTACGGACCTACGTTTACGGGATTTTTTTTCATATTTCTTTCTGGATGTAGAATTTACTCTATAATCGTCTGAACAATATTTTGCAGCCCCCTGTGTATCTCCTTCATTTTATTTGAAAAATTAATCATTTTCTAGTTATAATTTTTTTATCCCACAACCGATTACCAGCCTCTAGAAAACTAAAAAATTCTACACCAATGTTTGTGAAACAAAAAATCATATAAATGTTCTCTGGGAACGAACAGGTTTGAGTTATTTTCTTTTTATTCAACTGTGTAGTAAACTTATTTTATACTTAAAAAAAATTGTAAATGGAAAATGATTTGTTTTCCCAACTTACCGAAATTACAAAATTTTAAGTGGAAATTATGACGGTTTTAATTATTATTATTATTATTATTAACATAATAAGACTAGAGGTAAAAATCTATAAAACTCAAGAGTAAAAATCAATATGAAAAAAAATCTAAAATATAAGCATACAGTATAAACTAAAACAGTACTATTGGTACAATACTACAGATTAAAAGAGAATAACAAACATGTGGAGCGAAAAAATATACTACAAATGTAGACAGGTACAATTATTAAAAATTAAGTACATTATCAAGTTTGTTTTTAAAATAATTTATATAAGAAGCACTTACAACACTGTTTGGGAAAGTCATGAAACACACAGTTGCTGAAAATGGTATCTTTTAAAATCTCAACATATTTTATGTAAATTTACCCCAAGATACATTCAGACGATATTTACAGTAAGTGATTTTTTTGGGGACCTTTAACTCTGTATTTCGAAAACGATTGAGATTTCGAAATAGATCAAATGTGAGGCACCCTGTAGATACAGTTATTTTCTTAGCTATAACGTATTTGTTATTTCTAATATATTTTTATAAACACATGTATTGACCTACTCGAATAATTCAATTATTTGGGTACTACCAAAACATAGTTTAAGGTGCTTTATTGAAAATGATGATTGTTATTGTATTGTTTAAATCTGTTGTTCCACTTTGATTGTATTGTTGATGTTGAAAATTCTAGTTTATGAATATAAAAGATTATGAAACGAGTTAAAATTTCCATTCAATGTCAACACCATATGAGTCCCAGTTTAATAAAAATTATCGGTAACTTACTTCAAGTATGAATAATTCGAAGAAACAAAGTACATAAAGGATATCGTACAGGGTATATTTATACGCTTTACGCACATTATAAATAAGACTATATTTTATTATTCCAGTTTATATATTAAAAACTAGTACCTATATTATGTTACAAGTGAGTAAAATAAGCCTTTATAAGTTAGTGACATGTGTAAATTTTCTCATGCTTATAATTATTACATTTCATTCTCACGTGTGATATAAGACCTTTTGTCCAACAGGCGCAGTTTTTTAACTAAAAATGATTGACTATGTGCGCGCTGCAATGAATGCTCAAATCAACGTTGAACTTCTACAAAAATGGCACACAAGTTGACTATTTATATAAAGAAGCACGTTGGATATACACCAAAACATCGTCGTTTTTTTTTTTTCAAGAAAACAAGTTTCTTGTATATACACCAGCTTTTTAATAATGAAGGTCGTTTATATTTATTTTAAGTCGTTTTAATAATTTATTGTTTTATGTTTAAGTGGTTGCTATTTCTGCTGTTGCTGATGGGATAGACCATAAAGAAGAACAAAGTACATAATGTTCTATACTGATTGCACTAGTGACGGTTTTGTCATTAGCACAACAGAGCTGTCTAAAATATGTCTAGGTTTGCGTCCGCAAAAAACAACAACCAGCCGACAACAACTACCTAAAAAAAATTAGACACAAGTGATTGAAATTCATTCATCACTAAAAACCAGTCTGTAAAATATCTAAAAAACTGCAACTGTTAGACAAAAAATTATAACATAAACCATTCCAGTGAGTAATTTTCGGTAAAACAAACCCTAATCAACCATGAACCTAATAAATATTTTCTTGTTTTGTAACCTTTTATTAACTGACGTATTATTTGATATTCGTAAATAAAATCACAAGCAAAGCCTCTAAAATGCTATAAATGTTGTTAAAAAGTAATTTACAATTTAGACTATCGTTACAAATTATTTTTGAATTGCCAACATTGTCCAGTGTTTGATTAAACAATTATTGCAATTAACATTACGCAGAAATAATTGACAGAACCTTTACTACTTCACGGAAAACATATATTACCTTTCAATTCGTACTGATTTGTTGTGTTATTTAAGTTACGTCTTTCACATGTATACAGGGTGATTCACAACTTATCCAAAAAAATTTGGGAATAGATGCGGCATGAGAAATGGAGTCAATATTGTAAAAAAAATTTTTGTAAAATCCTTATAGTTTCTGAGAAAAAAATTATTGAAGTTATAGCACATTAAACCACTACATAGCTGGACAACTGTAGTCTATAGCGTCATTCGCAATACGCGTGGAGAGCCATGTGACTCCTAATACTGAAATCCGTCGTTGCGGTAGTTTTTACCTGTTATCTGTGGTATTTACATCAGTTTTTTAGTAGTTAGTGTCAAAAATGGCTTGCGTGTATAGCAACTCAGAGTTGATGGATATCGTTTTAATTTATGGTGAAGCAAGACAACATTTGTATTATGGTGAAGTATTTGTGTTATGGTGAAGCAAGACATCATTTGTGTTAGTTCGTAGAAAGTGAGTAAGACGGACCCAAATGTGTTTACACGTGAGTGGATAAA